AGTTTTACAATATACGCTGTTTAATTTTTTTTTTATTGTGTATTATTAATTTTACACGAAATTAAAGACTCGAAAATATGCATGTGCCTTGTTGTAATGTCAGACAAAAGAGTGAGTAATTTTATGCTGCGGAATAATTAATAGAGTTACCTCTCCTTCCCTCCCTTTCTCACTCAAAATTTAATGAAAAATTAAAATACGAGTAAATAAATAGCTGAGTCGTGTACAATAGAAGTTATCTGCCAGTTGACAGTTATGGATCGACACTTTTTGACCTTTTTCCTAATTCGCGAGCCTCGAAGGAAGAATTGTTGATATTAATGTCAACGACGTGGATGCAATATCGAAGGGAAAATCGGATCGGAAGAACAAAGGAAAGACATTGAAGAGATTGCAGGTCATATTGATCTTTGAAACATCTGTTATTTTCTTCATGAAGGCGCCGCCATCTACCTACGTTCCTCACAAAAAAATGTGACAGACAAAGAGACAAAATTAAAGGAACTGCCGAGCTTAGAATTTCCTGAGGGACAAAGAAGCGTAATTGCTCGATATTCCGGCTCGGGGATAATCATTCTGCTTCAAACAGTAGTAAGAATGGATGGATTCTCCACCCCCTCAAAAAAGTGTAATGCTTGAACAAAAAAAAGACTGTAAAATTTCTCGCCATTAACCAAATTGAGATCGCTCTATATTTATGTCTCGTATCGATAGCAGAAGATTTATATGGGTGTATAAAGAAGAAAAATGTCGATTGGATTGAAGAATGGTCTGAGATCATTCACTCTTGTCAGGTGGCTACTAAACTACCAGATCTTATACGTCAATAACTCTTTTGTTTGTACAGCACAATAGTTATATAATTATAATTATAATTATAAATAAATTTTTATATATAAAAAATTTCTCATTTTTTTGAAAAAATAGGAATTGTATTTCAATGATTAACTGTGTAATTTAAGAAATTTAATCGTTATATAGAGCCGATCGATCAAGTAACAAGAATTTCGAGGGCATCGTATAAAATATTTAACGAGTCAGTTTAACTTTACATAGCTCGTAAGCGAAAAAGGATGCAAAAAGGTCGAGAAGAAGTAAACTTAGCTAAATTAGAAAAAAATTGCGAACCTATTCGCGGAACTCAGTGAGAATTCGATTACTCGATGTGCATTTCTTTCTGTATAATTGCAGAACGGTATTGATTTATAGTGCCGATACAGACATATATAGAATAAATGGAATCAAGAAACGTGGAACAGATCGCGCGGTCACAGTTTAATCATATCATATTAAAATAAATATCTGGCTATAAGAGATTTATTACGAGAACTTTCTTCATTTATATTATATATTATTATAGACATGTGTTGTATTACTATAATTATACCAAAATATTGCCTGTCTTTTGTAGGAGATAAAGCATAATTTTTTTTGTATTACACTAACTGTACAGTTATTAATTTACCGCTACAATAATCGATATCCGCTGCGTCGCGCTGTAATTGCCATTTTTAGAAATTCCGCTCCAGTTCGGCAAGTTGAAGAGATAATTCGGCGATATCGATATATACAGGGTGTAACTAAACAAAGGTATATGAAGCACATCAGATGCAGGACGACAAACTAAATCGAAAAGTCCTGAGCCACTTTTTAATCTGAGCTTTATTTTGGACGCTACAAATTGTTAAAATTGACCAATTAGCGCGTGGCTACAACGGAAAACAGCGTAGGCGCCGCCTTAGTAGGCATAGCCACGCGCTAATTGGTCAATTTTAACAATTTGTAGCGTCCAAAATAAAGCTCAGATTAAAAAATGGCTCAGGACTTTTCGATTTAGTTTGTCGTCCTGCATCTGATGTGCTTCATATATCTTTGTTTAGTTACACCCTGTATATATCGATATCGCCGTCAATTTTAACAATTTATAGCGTCAAAAATAAAACTTAAATTAAAAAATGACTCAGGACTTTTCGATTTAGTTTTTCGTCCTGCACCAGACGGTGTGCTTCGTATACCTTTGTTTAGTTACTCTGTATATATACCTTTGTTTAGTTACTTTATATATATATATATATATATATATATTATGCTTGATTTTATATTTTCCGCTCCGTGGACACAATCGCGAAAAATTAATCCTCGCACGAGCTAACCACTGTGACTGATGAATGAAATCCGAGGGATGGATGGATCTCCGGAGGTGATCGACCTTATTTCGCGTCAGCCCCGTCCAGCGCAGCAACATACATATCCGCGAATCTCCTCCTCGATCATACTCGTGTATGTACCCCCTTTGCCTCTACGACCTTTCAACTAGTCTACATCCTCCCTTCCGCAGCGCAGAATCCCAATCTCCACCATTGCGCCGTCAGGCTGTACCAATACAGTCCGCCGCACCACTGACGTAACTCTCCTGACGTCACACGTGGAGTTAGCACCGCGCGCGAGCTAGCTACCCCTGCATCCCCCACGAGGACGAGGACAACGTCCTCCTTGCTTCACTTCCTCCCGCGGGAGTTCCTTCTCGTCTCGTATATTCTTCGCGTTTCTATTTGCATATCGATATTTACCAACAACGTTTGCATCGAAAAATATATATTAACGATCGCACAATTTTTTTTCATCATTTCACACCACAAGGTTTTTTACACTTTTTTGAATGCTGAAAACAATGCCAATTTTCACTGGCATGTCAAATTTCCGAAATAATTGAAGTTTAATATGCAAAAGCTTTTTTACGATATTTGATATTTTTTACGAAAAAGATTAACGTTATTTGGAAATTCTGATCAGATGTCATGATGTGCTGTCCATTCTTCATAAAATGCATTTTTTTGTTTGATATCTTACTCAAATAGCAAACTGACGTCATTAAATGTCAAAATGATGTTATTTTTATGTCATTTCGAGTCAAAATGACGTACGCTTGTTATTTAGGTTATTTTTTAGAAATGTTAGGAAGGATTTAAATATACAGAATTTTGCTGAGGTAGTAAATATTTCGCTTATATGATGATAAAAACCATATAATTATACTCATAATATATTTGTAGTTTAGGGTTATTAATACACGTACAGTGTAACGTATTATGATAGATTCCACTAAATGTATATTTATACATGGGGTGTTGGGCTTATTTTAATTGTCAACCTTGAATTTTTCGAAACAAAATGTATTTGCAAAAAAAATGTTCCAGACAAAAGTTGTATGATCTATACAAATAATGGTAAAATTAATTTTGAAAAAAATAATTTCTCAGATCATAATTTTTCTTCAAAAGTATTTCCACATGAGAAGCAGCTTCCTAGCTTTAATCTTTTATAATATGGCTTCAAAGTAAAATATTGAAATAAAAAATATATTTTATAGGAGATGAACAATACACTTATGATATCTGATTAGATTTTTCAGATAACGTTAACCTTTCTCACAAAAAATCTTAAATGTCACAAAAATATCTTTTTTTACACATTAAATCCTAATTATTTTTAGATTTTTAGAAATCTAACGTGCTAGTGAAATTTTGTTTGCAACATCGTTTTTAACACACAAAAGTCTATAAGAAACACTTTGTCTGGTTTAAAATAATTTTTAGCTGAAAATCAGTGCCAACAAAAATTGTTTACTCCAAATTTGAACGATCCGAATATTAACACGTTGTTGTTTAATTTAAGGATACCGTCAAACAGCACAGAAAAGTACACTTACAAGAGGTTGACACGGTATATAAATTTACATATATTCATGATAATGAATATACATTACATGATAATTATACCCTCGAATCATGTAATTATACAACGATGCTTATTTTGCGAAATAGTCACGTATCATTTACCATTTTTGAGAGAAAATTATTTCCAATTACTGACGCGTTAAATTAATATTATGACAATCACATTCAATCATACTTAATCTTTCACGAAGTAAATATAAATGAGTATTTAGCATTCAAATTTAGCAACAAGATATAAAATACATTTTATCGCTTATTAGAGTACGATTTTACAGTTGCAATTTCACAGATGTATAGTTCTGTTCTCAATTTCTAGCAGCACATTATTCGCATAACGATAGAAATACAAGAATGCGAAAAAGTTTAATCGATTGTCCTTCTGTATATCGCTCGTTACTTTCCACGTCTTTGTGTTCCTTTTACGCCTCATAAATTTGCGGTAACCGAAATCGGTGCTTTTCTCTATTTCTCTTTCTTCCTCTTTCTCGTTATCGCGATTTCGGTTCAGTTACCGAACACATACCCGCTGCAACTTTCTTGCAACGAAAAAGTGTACAATAACTGGAGAATAGCGAGATCGCCAAGTTTTTCTTCCTTCGTCAAAATCGCGAGTCAAACTCGCTGCAACTTTTCTCGCGGAATTTCGGATTACGTTAACTAATCATTCCGCGGAAGATATTAAATTCCTTGGAAAAATTACGACGTCGAAGCAATTGGTAATTTGCCTTTTCCTCGAATAAAAAAAAAAAAAAAAAAAAAAAAAAAAAAAAAAAAAAAAAAAAAGAGAATAAAAAAAAAATTTTATTTTATTCGCGTATAAAATATTTATTAATCAGAGGTTGTTTTAAATAAAGTTTAAAATTTCTTTCCTACGCTCCCTTTCGCTTTCTCGCGAATACCAAAGAATTTCTACAATTGATCTTTCTAACATTTCGACAACAAAATTTAATCGCGGTTACAATTCATCAATTCGCTATTATTTATATATGTATGCACTGCTTAACTTGCGGTACCGAAGCTCGGATTGAGTTTCATCCCAGATTGAATTGCCGTTGCTCCTGCGAGCTCTCTTCTAGCCTATCTTCTTTATCCCTTTCGGCCGTCCTTCAATATTCCATCTCCTTGAATTCAATATTCATCAACTCTGCAGTTCATTCAGTAATTGTACCGCTAGATTGGTTCGACGTATATTTTTTCACCTCTTTATATTTTACCGTATAAATTTATTAGGTCTCATCTTCCTTTTTTCTCTTCTTCTTTCAGGTGAAGAACTGTGGATTGGTGTAATAAAACCTCGGCCCCAGGAGTAGCCCGAGGGTTACCCCGGGGACCTTGGGGAAGCGATCGCGCGAAGACGAAGTGGCTGAGACCGACGACGAAGGACACGGGAGGCGGAGGAGGAGGCCGCTATGAACGCCAGCGTTAACGTCGAGAGGAACTCCTGGCGGCTGCCTCCCGATGAGACCGTCCAGGTCGCCGATCCCCGTTCAAAGTCTGCCCAGGTAAAAGAGGTAAATCGCTCAACCGGCTCAATAAGTGGTTCCTCTCCCGATCGTCGGGTATTTCTCTCTCGTGGGTTTACACATACGATATCAGGTTCAAATGTGCATGTGTATATGGGTGTACACGTTTGGTGAAAGTCGATATCCGCACTCTAGTGCAGTACCGGTTATTAATTTTTACGAACATTTCGGGATAAAAGGTTACGGATAATTTTGATGGAAGAAGAGGAAATGATATCCCATACTGTGTGTGTGTGTGTGTTAAAATTTCGGATTGATATTAATTATCTCCCATACAGCACAGATTATTGCAATTATATTGCAGCAATGTTGCAATGTTGCAAGTTGCAATGCAACATTATAAAGACATTGCAGAGATATAGGTGCACAAAATTCCAGCACACTTGTAGCAACATGACATTAATATTTCGGAAATATTGCATGTAATCCAAATTCTATAATTTATATTTTGTAATATACAATATATACATATACCCAGCAAACACCAAGTTACAGCTATATAATTGTTAGTTGTAATTTCCCACTCAAAAATATAATACGTGTATTATAACAATTATATTGTTGAGTGGAAAATTACAACTAACAATTATATAACTGTAACTTGGTATTTGCTGGGTATAATACTGTAATAAAATAATTTTTTGCAATATTGTACAATAAAAGATGTTGACGATAATCAATAATTTTATTATCTTCCAAAAAGCGGACATTTTAACATTGCTGCAATTCAACAGCAATGATGTAGCAACATTTTGCAGTAAATTTGCAATATTGCAATATTGCGGTGAAAGATTGTTGTAATGTTTTTGCAATCTAACGGTGCTGTATGGGCTCTCATGTGCTACATAGAAATTGAATGTTGATGTTAATAACACTAGTTTATAAACAGTATTCTTTTCATTATTTTAAACCAGATCAATCCCAGGGAGAACAGAAATGTCAAAATAATGTCAAATTGGCGTCAAAATGTGATCAAAATATGGTCATTTTAGTTTGTCAAAATGACATCAAATTGCATAGAATTTTGATGTTATCAATAAAATCTTGATGTTCACAATAATAAAAAATTATTATTTTGTATTAAAAATAATTGAAATGCAAATTTAAGACGTAAGCCGTTTAAATAATATTTTAATCAACAATTTAATTTTTAATATAATAACTCAACTCTTCTGCAATCTGCAATGATATCTGAATATAAAAAATGTTAACCTTTAATTATCTTTATAATTAATAAACATTGTACATACACAGTCGACAAACGTACATCATTTTTCTAAAAATTAAAAAGGTCAAAAAAGTCAATATAAAAAATCATTTTTTAGTTATCTTCAAGATCGAGATTTCCATGATCAAAAAATGACATAAATTTAGTCAATATGACATCAAATTGACATTATTTTGACTTTTCTGTTCTCCTTGGGAGACAAGGCTGTTCTTATAGATTTTGGATACTGAAAGTGATGCCGCAAGTCAATTTTTATTAGCAGATTTCCGAAATAATTGAGGTTCAATATGTAAAAAATGGCTTTTTATTTCGACAATTTACTTTTTAGTAAATACAGTTTTACTGAGGTAGTAAATATTCGATCTATGATGATAAAGTCATTATACTCATAATTTGAAGTTTAGTTCGATAAATAAAAGTTGTATGATCTAAAGGGGATAACAAATAATGATTTAATCAATTTTGGAAAAAAATAATTTTTTTTCAAAAAATCTTTCCTTAGAAGCATCTCAATATGAGAAGTAATTCCCAGCTTTAATTTTTCATAAATAACTAAAAATGGCTAAAAATATGAAAATAAAAATGGCTAAAGATATGGAAATAAAAAAATGCATTTATAGGAAATAAACAATACATTCATGTTATCTATCAGAGTTTTCAGATAATGTTAATCTTTTTTACAAAAAGTCTCAAATATTGCCAAGAATGCCATCTTTTACACACATACATTAAATCTCAATCAATTTGGAAATCTGGCGTGCTAGTGAATTTAGTTTGCAGCATCGTATTCAGCACCTAAAAATTTATCATCTAAGAAACACTTTGTCTGCTTTAAAATAATTTTTGACTGTAAACTACTGTAATGATCGGTGTATTGGACTGTTTAGTATAGCACCTAATTAATGGAATTGTGTGTATGAATGCACCGAGTGTCAAAATTCAATAGGTTCTGTATACACCCAAGTAGCTTATTTATTAGATGTGATAATTTTATTTATAAATATATTTTTTAAAATAAAGAACTGAATGAGAAATGTTTAAGTGTGGACATATGTACAGGGTGTTCCAGAGGAAATTGCTGAAACTAATCAGCTGTTATTTTTTAATGCATGCAGTTATTAAGAAAACAAAATTGTGTCAGAAAGCGAAAATTCTGCAGTTTTTAATGAATATAAATAAAATGTTTGTATACTAGTTTATTTTATTAATAAAAAGTAATGAAAAAGTGCTAATAATCACACAAAATTACATAAACTAATGATAAATTACTTCAACAGTGTCAGATTTAATAGCAGCTGTTAAAAAAATCGTCAATAACTTTAACAATATGTTAGAAAAAGTTTTTACGAGTTTTCGTAAATAAAGAACAGAATTTTGTACAAATTCAAATGGTGCACACTTCGAAAATATTTATTATTAGTTTACATACATTATTAGCACTTATTTCATTTTTTTCAATAAAGTAAACTGGTGTACAAACATTTTATTTATATCCATTAAAAATTGCAGATTTTCCTCTTTTTAACATAATTTTTGTTTTCTCAATAACTGCATGCATTAAAAAAAATGACAGCTGATTAGTTTCAACAATTTCCTATGAGACACCCTATATGTATATTGCATTTGGTTTGATAATCACAAATTTCTACCAGAATCTTCAAGATAATTCCGTATAGAATTCCAATAAGCGTTAATAATGTGCGTTATATGTTGCGTATACATTGTCCCATGGGTGATAATGCTAGGTTCGAATGTAGGACCGTAGGCGATTAAGCCTCTTGCACACGTGCTCGCAGGTGTTGTAGCAGAATTACTCGCGTTTAGCGTCGATAGCTGTATTAGCGACCACTCTGCATAATAGTTCAAATAGCGTGTAGTTACGTCCTGCCCAAACTATGCGCTACTACTCGGTATAATGAATATCTCGAACGGTGGCAAGATGACAATTGACTAGACTGGATATTTATGTTTCAAGATTTCTGTAAATTTCCAAGGAAACCAGAAAAGTCGAAATAATGTCAATTTAACGTCATATTGATTAAATTTATGTCATTTTTTGGTCCTGGAAATCTCAATCTCGAAGATGACTAAAAAATGACTTTTTATATTGACTTTTTTTGATCTGTTTAATTTTTAGAAAATACCTTTCTTGACTGTGTATATACACTGCTTATTATTATAAAGATAATTAAAAGTTGAATTATTGTATTAAAAATTAAATTGTTGATTAAAATGTTATTTTAAACGGCTTACGTCTTAAATTGTATCTCAATTATTTTTAATACAAAATAATAATTTTTTATCATTGTAAACATCAAAATTTTATGCAATTTGATGTCATTTTGACGAACTAAAATAATCATATTTTGACATCAATTTGACATTATTTTGACATTTCTGTTCTCCCTAGGTTGTCTTTTCGTAGAAAAAAAATCGTCGAGATAAGACTTTGTACAGAGAAGAGCCAAATTTACAATTATCTTGCGGTATTCGTACACTGTTTGACCAACGATCGATATTTCAACTTTAAATAATGAATGATCACGTCAAGGGAATGTTGACTATAAATCTGTTTTATCGACAAATATTATTTTTTTTAATTATTTATTGGCTATACAGAATAAAAAATCCTTTACCAGAATTAAGGATGTATGGAAGACATCTAAAAATGGTACAAAATTTATAAAAATCATATAGATTGCTTTTACTTTGGTTCTAAAGCTACTGTTAACATTTGACTTTTAATTCACTATAACTCATTTAAAAGTTATTACAATTTAAATTTCTGCTAGTTTTACATATATAATCTTATATGAAAATTCATTACTCTGATTATATTATTGTACATTAAAAATATCGAAAAAATTGTACCATATATTTTAAATTTTTTACATGTATAATTGGAATTTTAAAAACAACGTTGCAACATTACATTAACATTCACTAAACCATTTAGAAGAAATAATAATTTGTTGACATTCTGGCTTTTTTCCGATTTCTGAGCATTTAGTTGTGTCAACGCTGAGAACAGCTGAAAATTAGTATATTAAATTATAGCGATTTTCTATAAGATGAATAGCGTTGATACTTTTGTCTTCGATTGTATCTCCCATACACTGTAAAAAAGTATGTAAAATTACATAAACAATAAATGTAAAATTGTACAATATAATAATGAAAATGTATACATTTTCATTATTTATCGTGTAATTTTATATTTATTATTTATACGCAATTTTACATATTTTTATGTAATATATTACATATTTTTTCGCAGTGTACATTTTTAATGTATTCATAATAACAAATGTGAGAGTTACTATATATGTGTACATAAAAAAAACAAGAAAACTAACAATAAATAATTACAATTTTCTTGTCTTTTGCATTAGGTCAATCTAATCTACACGATAAGAAAACTGTAATTATTTAATTTTCTTGTTTTTTTATATGTCAAGGATTTTTTCATTCTATATAGCCAATAAATAGTTACATGAAAGTAACATTTATCGATAAAGCAGACACAGTTCCGTTAAAGAAGACGTCAATTATGTTACTTGTCCACGATAAAATGTGAAGAAACATTTTGACGAACGTTTAAATAAATGGCTTTAAATGAATGGCGCAGAAGTCTCAAGATGGAACGTCTCATTAAGCCAGTTAACATCAACATTTCTTCAAGCATGTAAAAATATGGCACGTAATAATGTACATAAACTCAATCATCAGAATAACAGAGCGAGTGTAGAGCGTGCGATCG